TTGATGGGCATTTAGGTTGTTTCTACCTTTTTGCTATCATGAATAGCACTGCGGTGAACATGGGTGTGGTTATGTCTGTGTCATGGCTCTTATTTCTCTAGAATGCATACCTGGTCACAGGATTGCTAGATCATATGGTTGATACAATGTTATTTGACAGAACTGGATGGATGTTCATCATCTTATTCTCTATGCTTGAAATATTTCAGATAAGAAAAAGTTCCTGTTTGCTGTGTAGAGAATGGATTGGAAAAGAGAAGGAAATGGGAGACCATTTAGGAAACTGTTGCAGGAGCCCAGGTGAGAAATGATGGTAGCCTAGACCAGGGTGGTGGCAGCAAGGAAGGAGAGGAGAGAAGAGATTTGAGAAGTCTTTGGGTGGTTCAGACTCCCTGGGTAGTCCAAATGGTTAGCATGCTTACCTGCTAATCAAAAGGTTGGAGGTTCGAGTTCACCCAGAGGCGCCTTGAAAGAAAGTCCTGGTGATTTACTTCCAAAAAATCAGTTCTTGAAAGTCCAATAGAGCATGGTCAGAATCAGCTTGTTGTACAAGCAACAACAGTAACTAATGATGTTGATCATCTTTTCAAGTACTTGTTGGCTATTTGTGTATCTTCTTTGAAGAAATGTCTATTCAAGTCCTTTACCCTTTTTTTTTTTTTTTAATTTTATTGTGATTTGGGTCAAAGTTTACAGAGCAAATTCATCTTCCATGCAGCAGTTCACATACACTTTATCTCACGACATTGAATATAATCTCCCACAATGCAACAGCTCCCCTCCCACTTCCTCCTCATGGTTACCTCTTCTCTGTGTCCTTCCCTCCCATGCACTCCTGCCCCCCTGAGCTATCTCCTTGTGCATACACAGCCCTTCTTTCTCCCATGATTGATCTCTCCAAGGAGTGTATCTACCTAATATAAATGTTCAGCTCATATGCCTGTCTTTTGTTTGGCTGGCAGCCACAAGAGTGGGTTCAATTTCAGACCCAAAGGGCTACCAGGGGCCAAAATCTCAGGGGTTCCACCAGGCTCTATCAGACCAGCAAACCTGGTCCTTTTTTTTTTTTTTTCTTTAATGATTTTGAGTTTTGTTCCACATTGTTCTCCCTCTCTATCCAGGATCTCCTACATAGATCCCCTTCCAAGTGGATGACAGTGGTAGCCGGGCACCATCTAGTTCTTCTGGTCTCATAGTTGTATAGACTGAAGATTGCATGGTATGCCAGTCTCTTGGACTAATTCTTTCTGTGTGTCTTTGATTTTCTTCATTCTTCTTTGCTCTGGATGAGGAGAAACCCATTGTTCTTTGCCCATTTTTTAAATGGTTCGTTTTTCTTTATTTTTTGAGGGGAAATACTATTTTTTAATTGTCCATGAGACATCCAAGTAGAGTTGACAAGGAGACAGGCCTTGAGTTCTGAGGAGAGGCCTGGATTGGATATATACATTTGGGAACCAGCAGCATGTGGGAATGTAGTCATGAGACTGAATATGAACCAGTGTAGTTAGAAAGAGAAGAGGCCTAAGGTCTGTACTCTAGCATTTAGAGGTCAGAGAGATATAGAAGATCCAAGCATGGAGCCTGAGAAGGAGCCACCAGAGAGTGTGGTATCCTGGAAACCAGGTAAAGGAGGATGGAGGGAGCGATCTGCCATGCCCAACGCTGCTGGTGTTGTTGGGTGCTATCAAGTCGATTCCAAACTCCTAAAGACCCCATGTGACACAGTAGGGTTTCCTAGGCTGTAATTTTTATGGGAGCAGATTGCCAGGTCTTTCTCTTAGGGAGCCACTGGGTGGGTTCAAGCCACCAACCTTTCACTTAGCAGCTGAGCACTTAATTGTTATGCCACCAGAGCACCTCAGTACTGCTGATAAGGCAAGTAAAAACAAGCCTGCAGATTGACTAGTTTGTGATGTGGAGGTCCCTGGTAGCAACCTTGGTAATGAGGTTTTGATAGAGTAGCAGTGACTTCAAGAGAATGGAAGGAAACACATGGAGATCATGAGTATAGATACACTTAGGGAATTTTGCCAAAAAAGGAGGAGAGAACTTGGGTACTAGAATCAGGAAAGTGGGGTGAAAAAATGGGAGAAATGAAGGCATATTTGGTATACTTCAGTAGAGAAGGAAACATTCCTGATTGAAGGGAAGAGGAGAGGACTGTGGGAGCAGTCTTGAGTGAATGTGAAGGTAGAGCCTCGTAGACAGACATAGGGTTTGCCTAGTCTGGGAGGTCAGCCAGTTTGTTCATAGAGATAGGAGAGAAGGTAGTATCTGGGATGTAGTGTTGAGAGCTTGTGGAAATTCTCTTTCTGAGTGCTTCTATTATTATTATTTTTTTTTTTTAACAAAATAGGAAGAAAGATCATTGGCTAAGAGTAAGGGTAGGGAAGCAGGTAATATAAATTTGAAGAGGGAGGATGTCCTAGTCTAGCCAGCGTAAGGCCACATGGTTGGAACCTGTCAGCTGACTGACCCACTGCAATGAGGGAAACCACAGACTAGTGGAACTCTGAGATACCACAATCAAAAGAAAAGACAGAGTTACATAGAATTTTGGAGAAGGGTGGGGCTTTGGCAAAATTTAAATGAAGCTATTTTGATAGGGTCAAAAGCAGGGCTGCATGTAGAGGAACCAATAGCTAGCCTGAACTACAAAGTTCACACACACACACCCAGACCCTGGATCCTATTTCCTTGGAAGCTGTAGAGTTAAAATGTCATTGTTGTTGTTGCTGTTGCTGCTGTTGCTGCTGTTGTTGTTGTTGTTGTTGTGTGTCATGGAGTCGGACCTGACTCATAGAGACTTCTCCTTGGGTTTCCGAGGCATTATCACTACAGAAGTAGATTGCCCAACCTTCCTTCCAAGGAGTGGCTGGTGGATTTGAACCGCCAGCCTTCTGGTTAGCAATCAAGTGCCTTAGGCACTGTTAAAATAGATATGAAATATTATTTCCAGAAACTCTTTATCTAAAGCACTGCACGTGGCTTGGAAATCAAGGCTGTTTCTCTGTGACTTATATCCTCTAAACAAGAGTAGGTTATTTTATTCTTACTGATAGGATTTCAAGCAGCAAAATTTCTGAGAGTCTGTGATTTAGAGAACAAAGAAAGCAGCCATCATACAAAGAAGGGGGTTGTTAGGACCTTTATAGTTGCAGTGTGTCCTTAGGAGAAACAGTTTCCTGTTAACCTTGAGGCTGTCTTTATTGCTGTTATTCTAGCTTGGTGAACAACAGGGAGAAGGTGGGAGAAGATATCAAATAGTTGTCTTTGCTTGTTTTTTCTCCTGGCTGACTCCTTCTCATACTGCAGTGTCAGTGTCAATGCCATATTTTCAGAGAAGTTTTCTGTGACTGCTTCATACAGTTAGTTTCCTATCCTGTTACTCTCTGTCTTTGAACTCTCATTACGATTATATAATGATAAACTTTCTGTTTGTTTATTTTGTTTTTCCCACTAAGCTCCCAGAGGATAAGAACTCCATCTGTTTTATTCATTAATGTATTCTCAGTGTAGGGCTGGCCACAGAGTAGCTGCTTAATATGCATTGAATGAATGAGTGACCAGAAGACAGCACTCCAGGTAGAGGGAGCATAGTGGGACACAAAAAGAGATTAGTGAGAAATGGGGCTTTGAGACCAGATGAGCTGTCAGGGCTTCAGTGATGGAGGCCAGGTTATAGAAGGATGTCCCTGCGGCTTCAAGAGTACAAGAGACACCTAGGCACTAGGAGGGCCCCAGCAAGAAGGCCATTTGGATATTAGAGTTTGTCTGGCAGCACAGTTGCTATTTTTGTTTAACAAAACTCTTTTGGTACTTTGTGGGGCAGAGTGCTTTCCAACATTGACTGGTTAGTCTGGATGGAGACCTGAGATGAGAGAAGAAAGACACTTCTGGAAGGTGAGCCAGCCCTTCACATCTCAGGTCTCTCTGACATACATAGGAGCACAGGGCCAGCTCTATCATTACTAGACATTACTAAGGCCTGGAGGCACAAGGATTAAGTGCTCAGCTGCTAACCAAAAGGTTGGCAGTTTGAAACCACCCAGTGGCTCCATGGAAGAAAGAGCTGGCAGTCTGTTCTCCTAAAGATTATAGTGTAGAAAACCCAGTGGGCAGTTCTACTCTGTCACATGGGGTGACTGAGTCAAAATTGATTCAATGGCACCCAACAAGACATTACTAGACCACATGTCCCACTGCTGTCGCCAAATCCATCATCACAGTATTAACACACTTCATTCTGGTTCATAATTAGCCTCTGCCCAAGCACCTTGAGTGAGAGGCTCTTGCTGTCTAGGCTCCTGCCCCCAGGCCTTCCACTGTCCTGATCCCTCTACCATCCCAACAGCTGAATTGGTAATGCATGGCTCTGGAAGAACCTCTAGGCCCAGTTCCAACAGTAGAGCCAGAGTGTTTTCAGACTGGGGAGTGCCCATGCCTTTTCAGTGGTTGCATATTCCAAGCATCACTCTGGATCATCTCTCCAATCTCAACCACCATTATTCTAGCTCACATATTCATCAACTCTTATCATGGGTTATTGCCAGGGCCTCCTAACCAATCTCCCAGCCTCAGTCTCTCCCACTTCAAATCGTCTTTCACACCAGTGATGAATAGCCTTTGCTTGTTGAAAACCTAGAGTAGCTTTTGAGTTCAGTGGTAGACCTCTCACCTTCCATGCAGAAGATCTGGTTCTATTCTTGGCCAGTGCACCTCATGCATAACCATCACCCATCTACCAGCAGAGGCTTATGTGTTGCTGTGATGCTGAATAGGTTTCAGTGTTGCTTCCAGACTGACTTGGATGAGGGAGAAAGGCCTGGATATCTACTTCCAAAACTCAGCCATTGAAACACTATGGAGCACACTTCTCCTCTGACACACATGGGGTCACCATGAGTTGGAATTGACAGCAACTGTTTTTGTTTGTTTAAATATATTATTGCTTCTTGTTTCATTTTCTATTTTAGGAAATTGGAGGAGATACCAATATGGAAAAGAAATCCCAGGAGAGTAAAAAGGGTCTCACCCACAGAGAAGTCCCACCGGTGGTGGTGCTGCTGCTCGCCATGGCTCTCATGAATACACTCCTGTACCTCTGCCTGGATCAATTCTTTATTTCCCCTCAACATTCCACTGTGGACCCCAGCCACTGCCCCTTTGGTTACTTCAGAATGGGACAGATGAAAAATTGTTCACCATGGCTGTCCTGTGAAGAGCTGAGAACAGAAGTGAGGCAGTTAAAACGTGTTGGGGAAGGAGCTGTGAAGAGAGTGAGTTAACACTTTATTGTGCATCACTGTCGGCTTGCAAATGGGGTGGCCCTTCAGGAAAGCAAGTTGTCTTATGTGTTAAAAGCCATAAAGGTGCCTCTTCCCTTTAGCCCAATAATCTCACACCTGGTAATTTATCCTAATAAAATAGTCCAAAGGAAGGAAACAAGCTAAATACATAAAAGAATATTTTGCTTTGTGATTTATAGTAACAAAAGTAGGAACAGTAATAATAGAAGAATGATTAAATTATGGTCCAATCACTTGATGGGATGTTCTGCAGCCGTTAAGTATAGTTAGGAACCCCATATAGCAACATTAAAAAAAAAAAAAAAACTTAGGATGATAAGAAAACAACTAAAGGTAGCAATAGGAAAACCCCACCACCAACCACCACACAATTCATGACCACAAACATGAGATGTGCAGTCAGCCCAGCAGTCTTACTTTATTTCCTTAGTGATCTTTCCCATTCTGTGAGTCAGTGTTTTGGTTCTCTAGTGCCACTCTAACAGAAAATACCACAATTGGGTGGCTTTAACAAACAGGGATTTATGCTCTTACAATTTAGGAGGCTAGAAGTCCAAGTCCAAAGTACCAGCTCTAGGGACTGGGTAAAAGCCCCTCAGCTTTGGCCTTCAGCTCTTACCTCCTGCTCCCAACCCACTGAAGCTGGAGGCTTCTCTTAGCTCAGGCAGCTGCTCACTGCTAAGGCTGACAAACCCAAGGTTGACAAGTAAAATGGCACAGTCCCAAGATTATCAAGCAGTATGGCAGGGCACTAATTCAAGTCCATTAATAGTCCCAAGATGGACAGACACCATGCCAGGCCACTGCGATGAAGACTCAACTACACACAGGGTTCAAGCATGCCAAAAAGCTCAGAGACCTTTCACAAATCTGTTTTCTTATGTACTGGAAGTAGACCACATTCCTAAGGCAGCTACTCAGCTGCTCCAGTAGATTCCTCCATGGAGTTGATTACCAGTCTCATCATGGGGAATGACTGCATCCAGCTGCCCAGCCACTCAAAACCAGGCCCAGCCAAGCTGACACACAATCTTAACTATCACAGTCAGCTGTGCCTGGAAAATTTTGCACAGTATCCTCTGCCCCAGTCTCAGCTAGTGACCTTTTTTCTTAAGTTACTAAGAAAACAGAAGCCACCAGAATGAAATTTATTTCATCCTCCCACCACCAGATCCATAAACCCACCAGGTCAAGTATTGTCCTCTTCTCACCACCTCACTCTTGACGAGTCCTCATCATTCAGGGCTCAGCTCAGGTATCACTTTGTCAAGAGGTTACCCTGACCCCTAATCTAAACCTCACCCTACATGATACCTCTTTCTATAATTGTAATTGGGTGAAAGTTTACAGAGCAATTTTGTTATCCATTCAACAGTTCGTACAGATTTTGTTTTGTGGCATTAATTGCAATCCCCACTATGTAACAGCTGTCTTCCCACTTTCTCCCTGTGGTTCCCTTTTACCTGTGTCCTTCTTTCCTATGCATTCCTGCCTTCTGAGCTATCTCCCTCCACAAATTGTGCCCTTTCTATAGTCATCTTGTTTGTCTCTCTTATAAATGGAAGTTCAACAAAGACAGAAAGTATGTCCTCAGCCTCTAGCCCAGTGCCATAGAACATATTTTAGGAGACATAGGACAAAGGCTCCTTAGTTGAATCCTTACATAAGATAAGATATTGGTCTAACATGATGTCCTTAGCATATAACATGGTTCAGCTCCCCTTTCTCCCCAGCCATATATTTTGTTTGGTGTTTGGGATTGCCAGGGCTATTGTGCCTCCGTTGGAGCAACATGCAACATTGCCTCTAAAACTGCACAGCCTGGTTTGTGAAAGGCAGATTGACCCATTGCTTGCTTCCTTTCTTCCTTTTAATTATGAAAGCAGTATGTACCATTCAAACATTTGGTAGAAGTTAAGTACAAAGTAAAAGTAATTTGCCCTACTTCTTGCTCTCCCCATCCCAAATCTTCTTCCCTAGGGTTAACAGATGGGGACTCATCCATCTTGGATTTTTAAACCCAAGATTACATCAAAGGAGCCAGACACATAGTCTCCCAGCCAATTTGACAGTCATACCCATGTATTGGGGCTACCCTTTTTCTGAAACATAGATCTGGGGTAATGGTACAAGGGAGCAAGAAGATTATAGTAGCATCTGTTCTTCCAAAAGGTAGAAGGTCCATCCACACCACTGTGGACAACTATAGCATGATTTAGCAGATGGCGGTATGGCCCCAGGTGGCACTGAGTGCTTCCAACACAGTCTCATTCTGTGTTCCTAGCACAGGATGTTTGCAAATCACTGTTGAGAACTGGAGTGTTCACGATTGAATGGTTTTTTATTTTTAACTTTTAAAAATATATTGTGAAAAAATACCCAACAAAACATGCCATCCCTACAATTTCTACATGTATAATTCAGTGACATTGATCACATTCTTTAAGTCAAGTAACTATTCCCACTATCCTTTTCCAAGTCATTTTACCACCTTAGTGCCCTCTATGCAAAAATGCCCCTTTTCCTCCTCTCTCTCATCCCTGGTAACCACCAATAATCTTTAGTTTCTGGTTATTTCCTTATTTCGTATAAGTGAGGTCATACAGTATTTGTCCTTTTGTGACTGACTTACTTCCCTCAGCATGATGTTTTGATGTTTTCAAGATTTACCCATGTTGTAGCATGGATCAGGACTTCATTTATCTCTCTGGCTGTGTAGTATTCCATTGTGTGTATATACCACATTTTGTTTACAGTTGAGTGTTTTGTTTTCTTTTAAATTAAAGCAAAATACTTTGGAAAGCTATGAAATTTAGGTTGGATCCTGCCAGGAGAAGGAATTTGAGTCTTTCTCTTAAGTTACTTTGTAGCCCTCTAATTTTATGTAACCTTTAGAGGGATCTTAAACACCAAACCAAACCTGTTGCTGTTGAGTTGATTCTGTCTCATATAGACCCTATAGGACAGAGTAGAACTGTCCCACAGAGTTCCCAAGGCTGTAATTGTACAGAAGCAGACTGCCACATCTTTCTCCCATGGCGCTGCTGGTGAGTTTGAAGGACCCACCTTTTGGTTAGCAGCAGAGTGCTTAACCACTGTGCCACCAGAGCTCCTGAAGGATCTTATGTAAAGCTATTTTAATGCTTACAGCTCTCTGAAGGGCAGATGCTATACAAATTGTATATTTAAAACATGAAATAATAAAACAGTGTCCACTCTTCATTTTCCTTTGCTGGGTATGCCTCCTCATCTCTTGTAACCATGATCTTTTTTTCTCTAACTGTGCCTGTCCCTGGGTGACTTTGTTGGGTCACATGACTTCATCTATAGCCAAAATCTTTCCCCTGAACTCCAGAGCTTTCTTTCCATCTGCCTACTTCATATCTCCACTTGGATATCTGCAAGACTTTTTAGACTTAGCACGTCCAGATCTTCCCCTACAAAGCCTTTCTACTTTCTTCCCCCTCTCAGTGAATGGCAGCTCCATCAGACCAGTCACTTAGGCCACCAACCCACCAGACATCCTTAACTTTTCTCTTTCTTGCACATCGACATTCAGTTCATCAGTAAATTATACTGTCTTGATCCACACTTTGACCATTTCTCACACTTCCACCAGTAGTATCTCCCCTATCCAACCCACCATCGCCTTGTACCTAAATTACATCAATGGAAGCCTCCAAATGGTCTCTCTGCTTTCACACTCTTCCTGTCCCTGCCCCTTGGCTCCATCACCCTATTCTCAGCATAGCAGCCAGGATGCTGTTGTTAAATTCTAAGTCAGACAGTATCACTCCTCTGCTCACAATCTTCCTGTGACTCTTGTGTCACTGAATAAAGCCAGAGTCCTTTCAGCAACTATAAGGCCCTGTAAGCGCTGCACTGCCCTGCCAGCTTCTCTCCTCCAGTTTCCTGTTGCTCATTCCACTCCAGCCACCCTGGCCTTGTGATACTGGGGGCTTGTGGGCATGCTGCCACCAGGGCCTTTGCCCTTACTGTTCTTTCTGCCTGAGATGTTGTCCCCAGATTTTCATGTGGCTCATTCTCTTACCTTCAGGTTCTTGCTCAAACATCACCCCAGTGAGACCTTCCCTGACCCTACTGAAACTTACAAACCCTTCACTGATTTGTTTTTATCCAAAGCACATTTATAATGTCTCATTTGATTTATTGTCTGCCTGCTGTGTTAGAATGTGAAGTCCATGGCGAAAGGAGTTTATGTCTTTTTTTTTAATTGTTGCTATTAGATGCTGTTGAGTCAGTTTTAACAGACCCCATGTACAAGAGAATGAAATACTGCTTGGTCCTGTGCCATCCTCATAGTCATTGCTGTGTTTGATCCCATCATTGCAGCCACTGTTAGTCCATCTCATTGAAGGTCTTCCTCTTTTTCAGTAATCTTCTACTTTACCAAGGAGCTCTGGTGGCATAATGGTTAAAGCATTTGGCTGCTAACCACAAGGTCAAAACCCACAAGTCACTCCACAGAAGAAAGATGAGGCAACCACAAGGTCTGTGGTTAAAACCTACCACCTGCTCCATGGGAGTCTGTTTCTGTAAAGATTTATAGCCTTGGAAACCCTACGGGGCAATTCTACTCTACCCTAAAGGGTTGCTGTGAATTGGAATCAACTAGATGGCAGTGGGTTTAGTTTTGGTTTTTGGTCTGCTTTACCAAGCATCATGTTCTTCTCTAGGGACTGGTCCCTCCTGGTAACATGTCCAAAGTCAGTGAGAGAGTCTTAGCATCTTACCTTCTAAGGTGCCCTCTGGCTGGACTTCCTCCTAGATAGACTTTTTTGTTCTTCTGGCAGCCTGTGGTATATTTAGAGTTAATTGTTTTCTAGATTTTGCCTTTTAAACATTTATTATAAATGATTACATAGATAATATATAGAGTTTCTAGAAATCAATTAGCACAAGGCAGACAACCCTAAAAAGGGCAATGAACAGGCTTTCCACAGAAGAAATAGGAAAGTTCCAATAAAGATGTAAGTGGTCAGCGTTATTAATAATCAGAAAAACACAAATTGGAACAACAGTCAGATGCTTTTCATCCACCATATTTTCACAAATTGCAAAGATTGATAATATCAGCGTGACTAAGGATAAGAGAATAAGGTTCTCTCCCACACTACTGGTGAAAATGTCTCTAAAACCACAGGCCTTTGGAGGGCAATGGTGGCAGTACATATGCTTCATTCAGTAAACCATCTATTTACTTAGCTTATAGGATACTTGCCATATGCTCAGAGGTGTCAGTATAAGCCTTTTCATTGTAGTATTGTTTTTAATAAGAGAAAAGGGAAATAATACATCAAGTCTTTAAAAATAGATCACGTAAGATCTTATTAAAGGGCTATACAAAATGAGAGAACTACATAGTAATCTGAGAAAAAGAGTCTAATCTGCTGCAACAGTATCCATCACAAATTTTATAAATTTTTATTATACTTTTAAAGATTAAAAATCTATCTTCTGTAAAGTCTTAATGAATGTGTAGCAGAATCGGCAGTATACCCATACTATGAAATATTATGCAGCTTTTAAAAAGAATGACCTAGATTGATCAATCTCTATATCTATCTGTCTATCTACAGGAAAGATTTCTGACGCATAAATAAAATGAAGAAAGCAAATTGCAATATGATATGTATGTTATCCCATTTATGTAAAAGCAAACCAAAATGCTATTTTATAAGTGTACATTAATGCATGAAAAGCATAGAAAATGTTCTGGGACGATACCAACCAATAATTAACGAAAGTTTCCTTCAGGTTGGGAGGCAATGTAGGGCTGGGGATGTACTCTATATCATTCTGTATTTGAATTTTTGCTAAGGAAAGTATTCATGGATTAATTTTAAATTAAGAAAGAAGAAAAGTCTATTAACTGTTCTCTCCAAATAAGAGAGTTCTGGGAAGTGTTAAGAAGCCACTCAGAGATTGCTGGGAAATGACTAAGACAATCTTTGTGTGAAGATTTAATGTTGGAGATTTCAAATATTTGTGAGTGATTCCAAAGACAAATAATACTTAGTAATCTTTCGTTGATCTGAGGCACAAAGATGAATCTGACATAGGCAAGGGTACAGGGGGAAGTCATGTGTCCAGTGGTTGAGCCTCTCCCATTATTTACAGCTGACTCTGCAGGCACAGCTTCCCTAAAGCAGTCTGCTACTGCTGCTGGTGACCATAAGGAGGCGGGTCTAAGGAACTGATACATCTTAACCAAAAGAAGACTTTGGATTACAGTCAAATATCAAATTCAGTGGTGATGCCAATCTATGGAGAGAATGTGTTCAACATGAAAAATAAGAAAAAACTGTTCCTGAAACTTCTAGTGGATATAATAGCCAAATATTAAGGACTTTTAATAAAAATTATGATCTATAATGAAATTTCTCAGAGAAGAGCTTAACAGGTTTCTGTCTTGGAAGTTAAGGCTCAACTGTAGTTATTTGGGTTTTATCATAACAAACCTCCCTTCTTAGACCCAGAAGAAATCTTCAAAGTCTTCTAACTCACCTCCATTTTGTAAAATATTTCTGAGTTCTTTTTAAAAATGTTTTTAAGTGTGAAAGTAATATATATTATAGAAAATTTGGAAACATACCAAAAGGATGAAGGAAAAAAAAAATATCACCCAGAATACAACTGAAGCATTGTTCCATTTCTATGCAAATTTAGTTTTATCTTGTTTTATACAGTTGGAGCAGTCAGTATTGTGTAAACACTTTTGTATCCTTTTTAATTTGTGGTATTACTTTAATCTGTTACAAACTCTATAAATATGTCCATTTTGATAACCACATAATATTCCATTGAGTGAATCCTACCATAACTTACTTAACTACTTCTCATTTTTTGATGGATGGGTAGGTCCCAGTTTATGCTTTCATAAATAGTGCTTTATTTTCATTTGTAGCTCTTTTGATGCATCTCACATTATTGCCTTCAATAGGTTTTAGATATAGATGTTAAAGGCTCTTGATAAGTAATGTAAAAAATTGCTTTCCAAAGCCTTTACTTTAGCAAAGAAGCAGCAGAAGCCCAGGGAGACACAGCACAGCTCACTAGGGGAAGAACAAGCCTGGGCAAGGATGACTTTCAAGCCTACTTTTCTTCTTTCTTTCATCATCTGTCTTCCCTCTTGGGATTTAAGCAAAACATCAGAGGGTCTTTCTTTAATTATGCTGCTGCCTGCAAGCTTTTCCTAGCTTCTGTTAGCTGTGTACTAGGATGGATGGGTCTAGTGAATGTATAGTGTGTCAGCTCCTGCTTTTATAGCTGAAGTAATAGAAAAGACAACAAGGTCGTGTAAAAACCTTTTCCTTGCTTAGAAATATTTCAATTTATAGCTTACAATGCTACTTTTTAAAATCAGTGAGTAATATGTTATGTGTCATGGTCTGGGCTCAACTCATTTATGTAGGCTTTTGGGACTTGGACTCATCCACTTTTCCAGTCTTCTTCCACCCTCTTTCTTCTCCCCACCCTTTGTGCCACAGCAGTTTGAAACTGGCGGTCTTTTTGCTGCTCTACATCCACCCTGCAATTCCTGATTATCTTTTAAAGGCCAACTTCCAGGAGCCTCCCCACCAACTACAGTCAGTCAGTCTTCCTTCCTCCTCCCCTGAGCCTCTTTACACATGGATTTAACACTTTCCACACTGATTGTCAAATGTTTGGTCATAGTCTTTGTACCTAGAATGAAAGCAACTCTATGGGATGGATCTATGTCTCCTTCATTTTCATATCCTCTGCACCACATCTGGCAGTTAGAAGATATTTGTAGAGTTGTTTCTCAGCTCATTCATTTAGGTGGAAGTTTCCAGTTTGATGTTCTCATATGGCTTTGTTTCAGGTCTTCCTGTCTGAGTGGAAGGAACGCAAAGTTGCTCTCTCACGGCTCACCAGTCTGGAGATGAAAGATGATTTCCTCCATGGCCTGCAGATGCTGAAGTCTCTGCAGAGTAAATATGTCGTCACGCTACTTGGTTACTGTGAGGATGACAACACTGTTCTAACTGAGTACCACCCCTTAGGTTCCTTGAGCAACCTGGAAGAAACCCTGAACCTTTCCAAATATCAGCATGTGAACACCTGGCAGGCGCGGCTGCAGCTGGCCATGGACTATGTAGGAATCATTAACTACCTGCACAACAGTCCCCTGGGCACACTGGTTATGTGTGATTCCAATGACCTGCGCAAAACACTCTCTCAGTATTTGCTGACAAGTAACTTCAGCATCGTGGCCAATGACTTGGATGCCTTGCCTCTGGTAAACCACAGCTCCAGGATGTTTGTAAAGTGCGGCCACAGGGAGCTTCATGGGGATTTTGTGGCTCCAGAGCAGTTGTGGCCCTATGGAGAGGACCTGCCTTTTCATGATGACCTAATGCCTTCATATGATGAAAAGATTGACATCTGGAAGATTCCTGATGTCTCCAGTTTCCTTTTGGGGCATGTAGAAGGGAGTGATATGGTACGATTCCATTTGTTTGATATTCATAAGGCATGTAAGAGCAAGACTCCTGCAGAAAGGCCCACTGCTCAGGATATTCTGGACACTTATCAGAAGGTTTTGAATTCACTCCGAGATACTGTCATGCCTCAGACAAGAGAAATGCTATAATAATCCATCCAGTCAGTGAAGGGAGGCATTTAAGGTTGGAGTGCAGTAGTTAAAGCAGTTCTACTCTAATGGTGGAGTTTTTTGCTTGGGCTTAGGATTTTGTTGTTTTGCAGTTTAGCCATGTGGTTCTTGATCTATACCCACATTCACATTTGAGTGTTCTGCTTCTCCAGGTAGCCTGGACTGAAGTTACTGAACAAGAGCAAAACTAGATTTGATTGAAATCTGGCTTCATATTTCTAACTCCAGTTGCTCCCTGGTGAAGATGCAAGGAAGCAATGACTCTAAGCAGGTATTTGAAAAAAGTAACAGATGTTGCCACAAAGAGGCTGCACCTACCCCAATAACTGAATTTATAAGCTTGTAAAAAATGGACACATAGAAGATACTTAGATGGAAGGATTCATACAGTAGTTGTCCAAAGAACTGTTTTCCCCTAATTTTTAAAATGGTAATCAACATACGAGATCACCAGATTATTTATGGTGTGTTTTACATGGAATCAATGAGGTTATCTTCACCATTTGAAATGATTGCTCTATGAAGCTCTCTACCATTTTCTTTCCAAGGAGCTAAAACAGAACTATAATAGAAATCTCTTTAAACTTTTGAAAGGTTAGGAAAAGAAATATTTAGAACCACAATTATAAGGGAAATTATGTGTACTACTGCCTTGTGAAATTCACACCTACTAGCTCAGTTTTCTGTGCCTAAAATTAATTGTTTTGAACCTTTACACCAACAAATGTCACTAATGACTAGAAAGTATTAAACCTGTCCACTTGAGTTGCATGATTGAATCTTTCAAACACTCTCTAAGATTTGCAGCTGAGGCTGTTTACATACAACCAAAAACCTCATAGGCTTTGGTTTCTTGGTGTGGAGGTTTAAGGTCATGGTTTCATGGGACAACCCTGTTAATTGGCCTAATACCGTGTTCTTTGCTTCTGTTACCTCTTAGTTCATTGCATAGTGCCTGAGATATTAAAAGCTTGCAGGTGGCCATCCAAGGCACAATTAGTCTCTATTCACCTGGAGCAGCAGAGGTATATGGAGAGCCAGAAATAGGAGGAGGATATGGAATGTGTGGCTAAATACCTCCATGACCAACCACTTCCTTTACCATGAGACTGGAACTGGATGATGCCTTGTTACCATTACTGAACATTGTGATCAAAGATTCTATAGAAGAATCCTGATCAAAAGGGGAAATACGCAGAACAGAATTCTAAATTCTCATGGAATCCAGCCTTTCGGGAGCCATGGAGGCTGGATGAACCCCTGAAACTATTGCCCTGAGATAATCTTTAAACCTTAAACCAATAATGTCCCCTGAATTCTACTTAAAACCAAACAATAGCTTAGCTGGTAAAAATATCTGCCTTGAGTATTATGCTCTTCTAAGAAGATCAAAATGACAATGGCAACTCAAAAGATTAGATAGAAACCGTAGGAGGCAGTGAGTTTATGTTAATGAGGGAGGAACAAGTCAGAAAAAGGGTGAAAATGGATGCACAACTTGAATAATGTAATCAGTGTCACTGAATTGTACGTGTAGAACTTGTTGAATTGGTGTGTGTTTTGCTATGTTCATTCTCAACAACAACAAAATTTAAAAAAACAAGACAGATAAATGTAGTGAAGATTCTAAAGTCATTTTCCAGAATTATACAGTTAGAATTGGAACTTTCTCCTTTTTTGATTCAATAAAAGTGGTTCTTGATTTTTTTTTTTTTTAAAAAAAAAAAAAGCTCTTTCTGTGGCACTTTTGTCCTCATTTGTAAGGTGTATTGCTTTCCTAGCCTAGTGGTGCAATGGTTAAAGTACTCAGCCGCTAGCTGAAAGGTCAGTGGTTCAAAGCCAGCAGCTGCTTCATGGGAGAAAGATGTGGCAGTCTGTTTCATAAACATTATGGCCTTAGAAACCCTGTAAGGCAGTTCTACTCTGTTGTAAAAAGTCTGCCATACCCCACTAGGATGGCTGTATTAAAAAGACAACAAGAAGGGTATTAATAGAATTTAGAGGAATTGGAACCCTCATATATTGCTCTTGGGAATGTAAAATGGTGTAGCCACTTTGGAAAACAGTTTGTCATTTCCTTCAATGGTTAAACATAGAGTTACATCTGACCCAGAAATTTCACTCCTAGGTACACATAAAACCAAAAAAAAACCTCACTGCAGTCTAATCACTTACTACTCATAGCAACCCCCACTGGGTTTCCAAGCCTGTAAATCTTCATGAAAATAGATCGCCTGATCTTCCTCCTGTGGAGAAGCTAGTGGGTTTGGACCACTGATCTTCTGTTTACCAGCCAAATGCCTTACTAACTACACCACCAGAGCTCCTTAGGTATAGACAAAGAGAATTGAAAACATATGTTCAAACAAAAATTTGTGCACAGACTTGTGCACGCATGTTGTTGTCATTAGATGCCATCAAGTTGGCTCTGACTCATGGCAGTAGTATGTACAACAGAATGAAACAGTGCCCAGTCCTATACCATCCTCACAATCTTTGCTATATTTGAGCCCATCGTTGCAGCCATCGTGTCAATCCATCTTCTTGAGGGTCTTCCCCTTTTTCACTGAACCTCTGCTTTACCAAACTTGATATCCTCCTCCAGGAGCTGGTCCTTTCTGACAACATGACCAAAGTTTGTGAGGTGAAGTCTGGCTGTTCTTGCTTCTATGGAGCATTCCAGCTATATTTCTTCAAAGACAGATTTGTTTATTCTTCTGGCAGTCCATGATATTTTTGGTATTCTTCACCAACACCACAATTCAGATTTATCAATTCTTTGGTCTTCCTTATTCATTGTCCAGCTTTCACATGCATGTGAAACAATTGAGGATACCATGGCTTGGATCAGGTGCACCTTAATCTTCAAAGTGACATCCTTGCTCTTTAACACTTTAAAAAGGTATTTTGCAGCAGATTTATCCAGTGCAATTATGTCATCTGATTTCTTGACTGCTGTTTCCATGAGTGTTGATTATGGAGCCAAGTAAACTGAAATCCCTGACAGCTTCCATCTTTTCTCCATTTAACATGATGTTGCTTATTGGTCCAGTTCTGAGGATTTTTTGTTTTCTTTATATTGAGGTGTAATTCATACTGAAGACTGTAGTCTTTGATCTTCATCAGTAAATGCTTCAAGTCTTCCTCACTTTCAGCAAGCAGGGTTGTGTCTGCATATCACAGGTTGTTAATGAGTTTTCCTCCAATCCTGATGCTGTGTTCTTCTTCAGGTAGTCCAGTTTCTCAGATTATTTGGTTAGTTTACAGATTGATTAACTATGGTGAAAGGATACAACCCTTACATACACCTTTCCTGATTTTAAATCATTCAGTATGCCCTTGTTCTGTTTGAATGATTGCCTCTTGGTCTACAGGTTCCTTATGAGCACAATTAAGTGTTCTGGAATTTCCATTCTTCACAATGTTATCCATAATTTGTTATGATTCATACAGTCAAATGCTTTTGCATGGTCAGTAATACACAGGTAAACATCTTTCTGGTATTCTCTGCTTTCAGCCAAGATCCATCTGACATCAGCAGTGATATTCCTCATCCCACACCCTCTTCTGAATCCAGCTTGAATTTCTGGCAGTTCTGTATTAATGTACTGCTGCAACAGTTTTTGAATTAACTTCAACAAAATTTTACTTGCACATGGTGTTAATAATACTGCTCGAAAATTTCTGCATTGTTTTGATTCACCTTTCTTTGGAATGGGCACAAATAATGGATCTCTTCCAGTTGGTTGCCCAGATAGCTGTCTTCCAAATTTCTGGGCATAACCAAGTGAGTGCCTCTGTTTGTTGAAACATCTCACTGGGTATTCCATCAATTTCTGGAGCCTTGTTTTTCACCAAATCCTTCAGTATAGCTTTGACTTCTTCCTTCAATACCATTGGTTCTTGGTAATATGCTACCTTCTAGAATATTTCAACATCAACCAATTCTTTTTAGTATAGTAACTCTGTGTATTCCTTCTATCTTCCTTTGATACTTTCTACATCATTCACTATTTTGCCCATAGATTCCTTCAATATTGCAATTTGAGCCTAGAGTTTTTTCTTCTCTTCTTTCAGACTGAGAAATGCCAAACATGTTCTCCCTTTTCTTTTTCTAATTCCAGGTCTTTGCACATTTCATTATAATACTTTACTTTGTCTTCTCAAGCTGCCCTTTGAAATCTTCTGTTCAGCTCTTTCATCATTTCTTCCACTCACTTTAGCTACTTTCCATTCAAGAGCAAGTTTCAGACTCTTCTGACATCCCATTTGGGTCTTTTCTTCCTTTCCTGTCTATTTAATGACCGTTTGCTTTCTTCTTGTTGTTAAGTGCCGTCGAGTCGTTTCCGACTCATAGCGACCCCATGCACAGCAGAACGAAACACTGCCCTATCCCGTGCCAACCCCACAATCCCTGCTATACTTGAGCTCATCATTGCAGCCAGAAGAACCATATTAAATAAATAATTTACTGCACTGCAGCTACTAACCAAATGGTTGGCAGTTCAAACTCACATACAGGCACGTCAGAAGACAGGCCTGACAGTCTGTTTTTGAAAGGTCATAGTGTTGAAAACCCTATGGAGCACTTCTACTCTGCACACTTGGGGTCACCATGAGTCAAAATCAACTCAGCTGGAGCTGGAAGAAAAATACTACATAACCAAATCAAACTGGTGCATTTAAACCATTGTTGTTCTTGTTGTTATGTGCCATCAAGTCAGACCTGACTCGTAGTGACCCCTCCATGGGTTTCTGAGGCAGTATCACTACTGAAGTAGATTGCCCAACCTTCCTTCCAAGGAATGGGTGGTGGGTTTGAACCGCCAGCCTTCTGGTTAGCAGTCAAGGGCTTTAGGCACTACGCTACCAGAGCTCCCATTTAAACCATTAGCATTGCTTATTGGCAGTTTCTGTTTTTAGAATAAATGGAAAGATAAATATCATTTTAGGGTTTTTTTTTTTTTTTCTTTATCACC